AAACATCCCTCTCTTCTATCCTGGGCCTTTCTCTTATCAGTTACAAACATTCTTCACCAGCACCCTAAACCCAGAAAGACCAAAGATAAGTAAGGATCAAAAATGTCAATGGTTATTTTTTATAATGGAGTTGGGGCGGAGTGGGGGGTATATTGACATCCTTAAGACTGACCAGATTGGACAATCCTAAAGGGACAGAGGCACGGAGTTAATGTAGAAAATGTCAGCTAACTCCCACACACACCCCCAAGAGACTAGGAATGTCAGTGGCTTGATTTCTTCCAAAGAAGAAACAAGTCCCTCCCCTTTCTTTTGGGTACGTGTACTCTCCTGGAGCAGATGGATTTCATAGTTTTCAAAGGCAAGGTCTATGTCAAGCCAATCAGAATGGATGATTGTCCTACTGGGGTGACAGTTCCCAATGCACCTTCCTGCAGGAAAGGCCAGTGGACCCCCCTTGCCTTCAAGAACAGAGCAGTGGGGCCTTACAGACGGACGTTTTGCCACACCACGTGCACGGCAACGTATCAGACCCCGTGGCACATATGCGACCAAGCATCCCTCCAAGGGACACGTGCATAACAGGCACCCAAACCAGACTGGAATCTGCTCTCTTCCCCAAAAGGCGTCATTTTCTCTTTTACAACTAAACAGAGCATCACCTCAGGGAAAAACGTACCTTCACGCTTTGGTCTGTTTTGAAAAGAAGAAATTAAAAGAAGCAACTGGAAGAAGCACAAGTACATGGGAGATGAAGAGCGAAGCGGAGCACGGGACGGAGGAGAGGGCGGGCGGGGGTGGGGAGGGGAGGGACGGGCGCAGGTGTGGCGGACACGCAGGTTTGCCGTCCCCCAAAACACATTCAACCCACTAAGGTAGCAAATGAGGAAAACATGTCGGTTTTCTTTTCCGGCAGTCGAACCATAAATGGTTGCTCCAGAAGTATCAGAGATTATTGGTCATTTCGAGCATTCTTGCTGGTGAAAAGCCAGCATTCCAGCCAATTTGAAATACTGGCCCCAAGATGCCCTAGATCTTTTGTTTTTCAAATGCAGGAATGTCAGCCGCTGGACAAAAAGTGATGTATACTGTCTAGTGGGCAGCATGCTGGCCAGACACCCAATTCGGAATGTGTCTCCCGGTACCCCGGGTTCCGGCTCAGCCATCCTCTCCAGCCACGGCCACGCCCCGAACGAGGACTCTGCCCAGAACAGAGCAAGAACGCCAGTGGCATCTGAACAAAACTGAGGTCTAAGCCATCACCTCCGCAAATGTTTCAAGAAGCTAGCCCGGAGCCAGGGCAAGTTGGAGTTCAGTCGGTCTCTTCTTAAGGAGGTTGATTACTTCTAATTCCATTCTAGCTAATACCTGCCTGAAAGGAGCCCAGAAAGCCCGAAAGCCCCAAAATTAAATGTGGACAAGCCTCCTATTTTACGAGCTTTTAGAAAGATCTTACGAGCTTTTAAAGTGTTCTCAGCTACATAAAATGGCAGAACCGCTCTCACTTCAATCACGGGCTTAGGAAAGAAAACAGCATTAGGAGTTGAAAAATCGGTAAGACATGTATTTTGTCCATATGGATTTTTAAAGTGTACCTATGACATCAAATGAAGCCTACAGAGACCCTACATTTTTAAAATTCTTTCCGTGAAGTGTAATTAACTTGCAATGTTTCAATAGTTTCAGGTTCTAACATACGGATACAACAATTTTACGTTGTTACTCAGGGCTCACCACACCAAGTGTCAACACTGTTTATCACCATACATTATTACAATATTATTGACTAAATTCCCTATGCTATACTTTTCATCTCCCCGACTTATTTATTTTATAATTGGAAGTCTGTATCTCTTAATCCCTTTTATGTATTTCACCCATCTTTCCACCTGCAATCCCTCACGTTAAGCCAGAAAAGCTGCGCACAGACATCCCAGTCTGACCTGCAGGTCCCAACCTTGACCGTGAGGCAGCGAAACCGTTGCTCCCAGCTGGCACCATGGTGGCCCTCAGTCTGCTTGGAGCATCGTCATCCTACACACTGTGCATTTTCCTGAAACATCACTCCAGGATTCTCCACCAAAAAGAGACCCTTGGAAATTTCCATTCATTTGGAGGAGCTCCTATAATCCGAGTGAGGATAATCATTAAAGGAGAGACAGCTGACAAACAGGAGAAAGGCCTGCATCCCAGCGCTTCGCTGGGCCTTCCACTTTGCGAAACATTCCCTGAATGCCCTCTCTCACGGGAAGGTCACTACCACCTGTCGTTCATTCACGGGAACGTTCCTAGGCGGCATTCACAGCCTACCCAGACTAAATGGCAACAGCACATCCTCCAGGTGTGGCAGTTAGGAGAATCCTTACAGTAAACAAGAGGTGGCCTGCGGGGGAGGGGAACGGAGAGAAGGCTACGAATGTTTCTAGCCCAGGACCTACTACTTCCAAGAACGGTGTGGCAACAGGGAAGCAGAGTAGAAAACCCCCACGAGTTGATAAAACATCAGTTTACCCACTCTCTGCCCTGCTAGTGCGCAACGCACTGTGGTCGAGAAGTTCTTTTCCAAACCGGTAATTGACTTCATGATGGAGAAGCATTTGCACCGTCGTGTTTCTTCTTTTAAGCAGATGGAGCAGATGAAATACCCCAGTCCCGTCCCGAAGTCCTTCCCGCCCCCGCCACAGCCCTGCTGCTCTTCGCACTACGATTTAGCCGCCACTGAACATATATTAAACGTAAAGTCCACAGACCATAGAAGACACAAGAAACTGGTAAAAGGGTCACATGAAACCATGAGGTCGGACTCTACGTCTCCACACAGACATGGGCCACTTCGATGTTTCACTATATAAATTATCTGCTACTTAGACATTATTCTGAATATCACAAACACAAAACGTATATGCTTAGAGACTAAAAGAATACACAGGCAATCCGCAGCTACGCAGTAGGGGTACAAATCCCGGAACTGAGTTATTTTTTTTTTCTAATAAGGATTTTTCCGAGAAATATTTTCTAAAAATAAATTGTGTCATTAATACGAAACAAAGAGCTAATAAAAGGTGGGCAAAATAGTAGCATAAGCAGTTCCAAGTTTAACCGACCAAATAATAATGTTTAAAATAATGAAGCATCATAGTCCCTCCCTAAGTCACAGTCTGTTAACTTACCAGGAGCACTAGCAGCAATTCGGGGCCATACAACAATTTACAGAATAAATTAAAAATGAGCGATAAGAAGCTTGGGTGCACTCTATAATCTAGTAACTATTTCTAAAGTTCCTAGCCTCATTTTTTCATCTATTCTCATAATAACTGACTAAATGAGATACATGGATTCATGTCATACCGAGTTTATTTCTAATCAAGATAAGCGTCTGGTGGCTGATCAATGTAACCTCATCTTCTCTAAAGAACCAGAAAAAGAACACAATGTTTGACTGAACATAAGTAGCTAAACACTGTGGTTTTACTCCCAAAAGTCCAGCTCTCCACATGCAATTTACAGAACTGACAACTGCCACCTCTTGCTTATTATGTTAAAAGCAAACCAAACAAAGAAAACATTGTAACTTATTTAAAAACACACAATTGCCTTCCAAAGAGCTCTTCTCAGAACAAACCCTACACAGAATGGGTGGCAAATATCCAGTTTTTTCAATTGATGTAGGAATACAATAGTAATAATTTAGGCTCAAGTGGATCATGTTCTTAATTTATCCAGCTGGGATGCTTTAAATCTAAAATAGGCAACTAATCTCCAGTTTTCATTTCCTATCATACTGCATTGTCCCAGACACATGAAACAGTACTGTCTGTAAAGCCAGAGGAAAAAAAAATGTTAACATTGTGTCAGGATGCCCATGAACCTTCACGTTAAAGCAGTAACAATATTCCCTCAAACACATATTCACCACCACCTCTTAATGATTTTGGCCCACATCACAGGAGAGTTTAGATTGAGTACAGGTGAAGGTAGCATCCAGCTTTTCGGCTGTATTCATGAGAGAACATATAGAAACTTCGCCGGGACTCCTATGGCTCACGCTAATGGAACCTTTAACAATTTTCCTGATTCCAAGGTATGATTTCCTTTTTGTCACTGCTAACATAAACTAAAGAAATCATGTCCCATAAGCACTACAGATAATATGCTAAAGAAAAATAATCCCAGCATAAAAGGCAATAGAAATGACTGGTACAGAAGTTAAATCAAGAATACTGCTTCCTTCATTTTAAAAATATTGTTGTGACCAGAATGAAGTTGCCTAAGCAACCATTCTAAAGCACACACAGTATTCAAATGTATCTATTATGGCGGCTCAGTGTCTAGAAGTTTGTTGCTGATAGCATTGTTATAAAATGTATAGAACTGTCAGATCAGTTTGTGGCGGGGGGGAGGGGCTCTAAATATAAAGGTTTAACGGTCATACGGCATTGAAATATTCATAAACAAATCGTAAAAATAACCCATAGTAAAAAATATAATTTAGGCTAAAAAAAAAAAAGAATTATTTAGTCATAAGTAAAATCTTTAAACCAACCATAGACTCACAGACACATTCACTCTTGTTGCAGAACTGCAAAGTGGTCTTTTCATTCCTAGCGTGTTATACATTTACATAATCCTTACAACCCAAAGGCTGAGGGGGAGTATATGAAAGAGCTTCTAAAAACTATTACGCATTGTATAAAAGCACATGTATCACAAAATATGTGGGATGCCCAAACTTCCTGATAATTCTGACTGCAGGTTAATCTACAGGAAATCAGCAGACAAAGGAGCGTGCAGAGGATGGCTGGCCTCATTTACTTCATTGTGTCTCTACACAGTGAGAACATCCGATTATCAAGTATGGTGTGCAGTACTTGGCAAACAGGGAAATCCACCAGGTGACAAAACTGATAAACACTCTACCCCCGGGGGTGGGGGGGGAGCGGGGGAGAGAATCAAGGAAGCCGAAAGTTTCCCTCTCTCCAAGAAAGTGAAGAAATTCTTACCTTTCTGTACACCAACATGTTGGGGGATTCGTCCGCCACCCCGTTGCTGGTCTGCCCGTAATTATTCCCCTGGGCCATGTCACCCCACACTTGGTCTGCTCTCAGATACTGGAATTACTGGTGTGCGCGCTGCAAAGGGCCAGGGAGACCTCAGTCAGAAGCGAATGGTGGTGCTCGAGGGGGGCGGGGGTGGCGACATTTGAATCCTGTTCATAACCCACAGCCCCCATTGCACATGGAGCACATGTACATGACTTACATGTCCAGGCTGGCTGCAGGAAGTGGCACAGAAATAGATTTAAAAAAAGAAAACTGAATTTACACCTACAGTACCCTCAGGGAGTTGTAAGAAATGACAATCCTAAGCATTTGGCTATGGTTTTAACCGACTTCATCTCCTGGATACTCCTCTTAAAAAGTATCTGACGCTCGCCTAAAAAAAACCACGGTTACCATTCCTGCGCTACAGAGTTCTCCTGTCTCCCATTACTTGCATCTGGATGATGTTCTCCCAAGAGGGCGGAGAGGCAGCCCCCTGTGGCAGCACACTCGCTCCCAGGTACCTGGCTACTTGCCCCGCAGGCAGCGCAGCAGGCAGGCCCATCCCCGTGGCATTCTCCCTTCGCCCCCCCGGGTCTCCCACACAGAGCCCGAGGAGCTGCGCCCACTTCCACCTGCCCGCCCGCACTGCCCGCCACCGGGTCCCCTCCTCTTCCACTCCACTTGGGAAGTCAGGACGGAACCCTGCCCAGGCTTTGCCAGAAGGCACCAGAATCCGTCTCAGCCCCAGGACCCGGTGGGAGTCCACCCTCGGGGCAATTACCTGGGCTACCGTGGGTCGCAGCCCGCCTGCAGGAACCTGAGAGCCACCAGCCCAAGAGCAGCAAACCCGGGAGCCCCCCCACCCCAGCTCCCGCCGCCCGGCTCTCCCCACAGCACAAATGGCAGCAGTTTCAGCACCGCGGACCTGGGTGAGCGCGGCGCCCGCAGCCCGGCTGGGGCGCGGGGCTCCCGGGGCGGCCGCGCGGCGGGGCGCCGAGCGAGGGTGGGTGCGGGGGGGGGGGGGGCGGCGCGGGGCGCGCGGGGCTGCGCCGCCTCCTCCCCAACCACCTCCCCTATTTACCTCCTCGGCCAAGGTCACGGCCCCGCGGCGTCTGCGCTCCGGGGCGGGCTGGGTGCCGGCGCTGTCAGCTGGCGGCAAGCGGAGCCCCGAGGCAGGGCAGCCTCATCACCCTCGGCGGATGCGGAACCGCGCGGCTCAGGCCACCGCCGCGGTGCACGGGCGGCCCCGGCAGCCCGCCGCTCGCGCCCGCTCCCCCCGCTCCCCCGCCGCCCGGCCGGCCCGCTCCCTCCGCCGCCTCTGCTCCCGGGCGCGGGGACCCGCCGAGCGCGCGCGGGAGCCGAGACGCCGGCCCGTGCGCGCGACTGGGAGGCGGGAGGAGGGGCGGTCACGTGGGCCGGGCGGCCAGAGGTGCGGGCTCCCGGGCTCCGCGCTCCGCGCTCGCTGCCCCGCCGGCCGCCCCCGCCGGCCGCTCTCGCGCCCCGGGCCCGGCGGGCGCACACCACGCGCGGCAGCCGGTGTCCGCGCCGCGGGCGGCCTGGGGACCCGAGCGGGGCGGCGAGCGGCCGCCGGAAGGGCAGGGCGGGCGGGCGGATGGAGGGATGGAGGGATGGAGGGGTGGAGGGGTGGAGGGATGCAGGGGTGGAGGGAGCCCCGCGCCGCCCGCGCGCTTCATCACGTGCCCGCGGACTCCGCCGGCAGCGCGAGGGCAGCGGATGATTGATTATCGCTGTGCTTAAGTGACGAGCGTGGAGAGACACGAGAAGTCCTGGGAGTGAAGGAAATGGCCAGGACAGATTGAGCCACTCAGCCCGCAGCCTGCGGCTTTCACAGCTTCCTCCCAAGTTGGAGAGTCGGCACCGGTCTGGAGGCTGCGGGTGCCGCGGAGACCCGCCACCTGTGCGACTGAAGGGCCGTCCCCAGCCTCCTCCGAGGGCTCGCCTCTGCCCACGCTCTCACCCCCTCGCGGGTTTCAGAGAGGACCTGGGGTGCTGATCCCCCGGAATTAGTCTTCAAGTCGCTGTCACTAATTCCCCTCTAAGGATTAGAACGACAGGAAGAAGAAAAATCACTGCTGGCCCAATTCTGGTCAAGAAACTTGCGTCTCTGGCTTTTCGGGGCAGATTTGGGAAGCTATAAATATCTGAAGTTTTCTTTCCTCAGCGGGGCCAGGTGTGGGGGAAAGACGAAGATAATCCAGACAACCCCTTCTTAATCCCCTAGGTCCGAAGAGAATAACGTTACCCTGGTAGCAGGGACGACTGTTCAGAGCAAACCATGGGGTCCAATGCGTTTCCCCAGTCCCACCCAGGCAGGCAGGTTTCACCCAAGGAGCGAAGAGTTATCTAACCTATTCTCAGTTCTAAATACTGCCAGGCAAACGTTACTATCCCAACCCCTTTACATACACCCTAGTCTGACCCATCTCCCACTCCTCTCCAGTTCCCAAAATTTCTGCATTGTGTGTTCTGGAAATTATGCTGTTTTTTCATCAAAGTTGCCATTTTTAAAAATTCTTCTCTACTATTTCCTTAACTCTTGCTGTAACCAGACCTACCTCTTCCCCTTCAGCCCCTTTCTCTTCCCCTCTGCTCAGTCTACTTCTGGTAAGTTGACATGAATGGAATTAATAAATCTGGAAAGAATAAGGAGGCATGCTCACTCAGCTTGACCATTGTTCCTCTTAAGGAAGAACTGCCTGAAGGAAGCAGACTTTCTCCTTTGCATCACAAGACGAAGGTTCTAACCCCGTTGGGGGCCAAGCCCGTGCTCATCACTGGTGGATCTAGCAGATAAAATAGAGCCAACTGTGTATATTTTATACACGGAGTGTAAAATACAGCCCGGCTGCATAGGACCCCATCCATCTATCCATCCATCACCTAGATACATGTATATCTATATCAACATAGACATAATCTTGCAGAAGAGATCTATATGTAGATATAGCTATGTATAAAATCTCCCTTGACACACTTTCCACTTATTCCTGCCCTATTTTTTGGCTTCCTTTGGCACCAAGAACTTCCTTTTCTTTTATTTTGTATTGAACCCATTTTATTCTGGCAACAACCTCCATGTTACTAAACCAATAGTGAATTCTCAATTATATTGAATGAGTTTTCAGCAGAAGATTAAGTTGATCAGCTTCATGATAACAAGGATAGTGTCTGTTTAAGATTTTATTTTAAATATTTGAGAGAGCGCATGCACATGAGCAGGGGAAGGGGCAGAGGGAGAAGCAGACTCCTTGCTGAGCAGGGAGCAGGACCGACTGATGGGGGCAGATCCCAGAACCCTGGGACCATGACATGAGCCAAAGGCAGATGCTTAACCCACTGAGCCACCCAGAAGCCTGAGATATTGTCTGTTTAGCTCATGCCATATATCCCAGGCATAGTACAGTTTCTAGCCCACAAGTAGATGCATGTTATCTAAATGAATCAATGTATCTAATCACAACAATCCGATACATAATTTTTATATTTAGTAATACATTGTTTGCATTATTATCTCATTTAACCCTCTAAAGCCCTAGTTATAATTGTTATCTCTTTTGTATCAATACACCAATAAGGAAGGCGAGGATCAGAAATGTTAAGTAAACTGCCCCATTCAACCCACATAACCACTAAGTGGCTGTGGTGGTTTGTACCAGTCAACTTGATTAGCTGGAACTACATTTCCCAGCATCCCCTCCCCTGTATTCAAGTGAGTAGAGGAATTTGTGCAAGATTGGGAAAAGAGTGAGACAGCACCTATTCCTCTTTGAAGGTCTTTGAAGTTTGTGTGTTGGCATGTGTTGGGTCCCAGAAGGTTCTGGCATGTCCTTATTCTCCCTCACTTCACATTCAGATTTTCCAAATTTCGTTCCACCCCTGAGGAAGAGTAGCCCCACACACCTTACAAAAACCCTGAATGTGGACCTACAGAGGCAGCAGCCACACAAAGACCACAGATTTTCATTGACTTCTCTGTCCGCTCCACTTCCTGGTCTCCCTCCTGCACCTGGCCATGCCTGGCCTCCCAGCTTCCCCCATAAGCTTCAACCTGCCCGTCCACTTGCCTAAGACCCCAGGTGGGGGGTTAGTAGCGTCTTTTTTCAGATCTTTCATTATTCTGGAAAATAACTTCGCCTGCTTCCCTCACAATTATGTAAGGTCTTGTTCCCATAATGCACCCCGTACTCCATTGTTTTCATAGTGCTTCTACTTCTCGGACTGAGTGGTTGGCAGAGCTCACATCCAAGTCTTCCGGTCCTTTTCACTATTCCCCAAGAAATCCAAGTTAGAGAGGCAAAAACCTTGAAACCAATGACACATGAGAATGCAAAACTGAACAATGGAAGTATGAAAGGGGTTGATGTTCCAACAAGGCTCTTCAAGGACTAGTAGGAGGTCTACATGGAAGGTGATGAGGGAAGGAGTTTCTAGTAAGGCACAGAGGCAAATTCTGAAGCCCACTGGGAAAATTACCATAATAAAACTACCACTTCCTGAAGTCACACTATCTCTAAATGCATTAAAATATTCTCACCATTTCTGACAAAATTCACCCCACAAGCAACGTAAGGAAACTAACGTTCAAGTTAGGAAATTTGACCAGGATTGTATACCTTCTAAATATCAGAGTCTGGATGCAAACACACAGCTGTGTGAATCCAAACCCCTATGAAAACATGTGAAAAATGCCTCTAGCCACAGAATGAGTTTTTGAAAATCTGAGGATCTCCCACAAAGACACCTGTCATTCTCTTGTCTGTCTCATCTCTCCTCTCACCTGTCTTCCCTCCACACACCTAATGCACACCTTTCTCTCTGGGCCTTAATGACTCAAGGTGGTTAATTGTTACTTATGGTGGCAAAGCAAATATGGAGGAAGATTCAAGAACTAGCACAGTCCACTATTTCTTCTTTTGTTATTGTTAAGCCTCATCATTTGTGTTATTGTGCACTGGGACCAAAATTATGTCCATCATCTTAATGTTCCCAGGACTCACATTTTTTCCAGACATAACCTGAGGGAATTAGACTAGGTCTCTCAAAATCCATTTGGATCTTAGAACATAAGATTTTAAAATGTTCTCCTTGGTACTTTCCTCCTACATAATGGCCCTTTACGTTGTAAACAGCAAACAGCATGGATATTGTGGGATATTTTTCTGTTTCTTTTCTTTCCAAAACCATGTAAATATGTAATCCTCAGCTATCATTATCCAAAATCATTTTTGTCATTTTCCTTATGGACCCTATGTTTTGTGATACTTCT